TTAAAAAGATGAATTTTAATTTTATAATTAATTAGGAATTGAAAAAGAAAATTATAAGGGAGAGGAAACTCAAGTTTGTGTCAAGGGAACAGAAATACAACGACGGCTGGAGTAGTTAAATTTTTTCTTTTTTGGAAAACTTAACCATGGTTAAGTTAATAAGATGTTATCCCTGCAAATTAATCAGAACTGCTCACATTAAGAGGCATCTTTGATTCTTGCCTCTTCTCAATTTGAAAAACCATCACATTCAATGATCCCCATTTAATGGTGGAGATGTTGTGTAATAGTGCCATTAAATACAAACAATGTCAAATTTAATAATTAATATTAATGATGCACCTCTATTATTCCTTTCCTCTCTTTTTCTAAAAAAACAGATTTTTCTCACAAATCTAATGCTTACCATCCTGTATATATTTTTCTCACTGAACCAACAGACATTTAAAAAAAAATACTAGCTCTGGTCCTTAATATAAGACTCTGTTTGATTTTTATATTAGTCCTAAATATAAGATCTCAGTCCATTTTGTCTCTTATATTTACTCAATTTTTTTCAAGATAGTTCTTCTAATAATTATAGTTTTAGTCAATATACTTGGTTGTAAAGATATTTTAGGAAAGACAATATCTATTTATTATAAGTAACTAACTTAACTTCTTTTCTTAATTTCCTTAAATTAGTCAACTAGCTCTTATAATTAGGACTGGAGGTAATATATATCAACAATTAGACATTGCATGATTCTCCTAATAATTAACTAGTCCGGTGTAACGGGCAGCGGTCGATACCACTAAGGCAACTACCGCTAATCGCGACTTGTTGCCATTAATTTGGATTTCATTTAATGCCATTATGCGACTGTAAATGTAAATATTAGCCCAAAAGGCAGACCAAAGAATACAATGTTATTTCTTGTTCCAGTTCTTGTCAAATTAACTTCAATTTAACGGTTAGCCTCCCCCGTGCGATCCACGAACGAGAATATTTGATTAAATTTTAAATTCAAATAAATTGTATTATTTAAGATAGTTCAAGATCTATGATTTTTTTATTCATTCAAATAAGATTTGAAATAGAGATTTAGGAATTAGGAGGAACGTATAAAAATTTAAAACTAATTATTTATTTCTCCATTTAAGCCCCTAGTTGTCATACGATTTAATTATGATGCTTCCCATTTAATTCAATATATTCAAATCCTAATTAAGATATTATTTAATTTCAAAATTAACTATTAATTTCTTCATTTAATCTTCCAATTGAGATCACATTTAACAATCATGATCCTCATTTAATTCAATATATCCAAATTTTAATCAAAATATTATTCAAATCTCATTAATTGAATACATTCGAATGTCATAATACCATCACAACCCGTTTTTAAATGAATCGAGTATTACAAATTTTTAAAAATATAATTGATGATTGATTTAACATTTAGCCTCACAATAACTCTCGCAATAATTAATGCAGGTAAAGGAATTGATTGGATTGAATGCTGGCTATGTATGTTTAATTTGACAAATGGACAAAGTAATAACTGATAAGCATAAATAAATGTTTGACTTCCTCTCATATTTTAGGGAGTATGCACGCGAAAATTTAACATATATTTATATTTAAATTTGTATAAATATTGATTTTCAAATTTTACCCTCCATGTAAAGCTGTGGTTACAATAAAGTCCTGCACAGGAATAAATTAAAAACATGGCAACAACTCATTACAATTGAAAAGGGATAAGATTGTGAAGGGAAAAAAACAACATCACAATTTTGCTCCATGTTTAGGACCAAGTAGCGACTCCATATCAAGAACGGATGGAGCATATCAAAACGTTATCAGTTTTTCACATTTTTTAATTATTTATCTTAACTTTTGTTTGTCCTCCGACGTATTCCTCCGGTCCTAATTATAAGACCCAATTGACTTATTTGAGGAGATTAAGGAAGTAAGTTAAGTTGGTTATTTATAATAAATAAGTGTTGTTATTCTTAAAATATCCTTGCTAATTAAATATATTGGCTAAAACTATCATTATTAGAAGGATTATCTTGGAAAAAAATGCATAAATATAAGAGACAAAATAGATTGGGTCTTATAATTAAGACCAAATAAAAAGTCAAATTAGGTCTTATAATAAGGACCGGAGGAGTATTATTTACTAATTTTTTTAAACCGTCTTCCCTTTTCTTTCAAATCTCCTCTGATAATAAAGCAATGGCCCAAAAGCGGGGAAGATCTTCGATAGGCCGGAACTGGCACATTTGCCCCTGTGACGTGTGGCTGTATGAGGCAAAGAAGAATGAATTTTAACCGAGCTATTGGCTCTACAAAGGTTTTAATATTTTGAGCTATTGAGTGCTTTTGAGTTTTCAAATATTTCTAACTTGATTTATCTCTTTCTCTCATACAATTTTTTAGATCTGGGATTTCAAAAATCTAGATTGTTAGCTCTAAGAAATTGATACATTTTTACACATTTTCCTCCTCTTTTACTTGTTTTTGGGATTAAAATTGTGATAAAATAGATCTACACAATGGAAAGTGTGCATAAGCGAGCTCATTCTAATCCTGCGAAAATTCCTGAGATAAGTGTGATTATTTTAACTTGTTCAAAACTTGCACATTTCTCTTTTGAGGAGTGTAACATTCCAGTCCTCACTGGGATTAAGTGTTAATACTAACTTTAAGAAGGACATATAATGGAGTTATAGGCCGAGAAGAATGAGATAAGGGTGGAATGAAAAGAAATTAAACTACCAACTATTTACAATTTAATAATTTATTATAGATCATTGAATAAATCATAGAGATTTGTATTATTAAGATGAATAAGATATTACAATACGTGTTAGTCATCCTTCTTTATTGTACGGATAACAAACCTCAACCTCACTGTCACCGTCGTGCAGACATGCTTGATGTTGCCTAATTTTCCACACATCCCTTTCCTCTATGTATATATCAAACCACTTGAAGGCTCCTTTCCATTGAAAGCCACAAAAGAATTGAGTTGAACCAAAGAATGTGTCGCTGAATTCAAACTCATAGCGTTGTAAGTGATGAAGAAGATGCTCCCCGAGGTCGTCATCTTTGGACTTGCAGTGGACAGTCAAGTCCAGGTTATGATCTAACATGTTGGTCATGCTCCCTCGCCTTTTGGCATCAACCAAGTTTGATGCCAATAGTATGAAGAGCACAACAATGGATTTCAGAATTTTGGCCATCCTATGTTCTGAGGACTAGCTTCGCTTTTACCCATCGATCCCAGATCTCACTTATATAGGATTGGTATGAGTATTTAATGCCATTAATAATTAAACGTTATGATTTCTTGTGATCTCTTCAAGCTGAGGTAAGAATTTTGCTGGTTTTTGCGAGTTAGGGACGTATACTACTTCTTTTCTTTCTGTTTTTCTCTGCTTCCCATCTTAATCATTGAGATTGCAGATTGAAGAACCCAGATTCTGTTATAGTTAAAATTCACTAGTTTAATTTTCTTTATTTACTTTTTAAAAAAATTAACATTTTGTTCCTAATTTTATAAAGTATGAAATATGGACTGTTTAAATTATAATTCTATGGTTAAGACGGGGAGTGGAGGGAAATAGAGGGGGAGGGATGAGATATAACACTCGTACTAATGAAATCACAAACCTGAAAATTTGGTAGTTTGTGATGAAAAAAATGGAAAGCCATTTGGAAGAAATTAATGAGTCCGGATTAAATTCTGCCCCCCAGTTATTTTTTTTTTGGCTTCAGCTCTCCAGTTGAATTGTGATCACGATAAAATACTGCATAGGAATTAAAAACATGGCAACAACTTGTTACAATCAAAGAGGGATAAGATTGAAAAAGAAAATAACTACTACAATTTTGCTCCATGTTTACTGTTTAGGGCCACGCAGCGACTCCATGATCAGGAACGGATGGGGCATATGAAAACGTCATACGTTTTGTTTTAGTTATTTATCTTAACAAAATAAATTTTTTGGTCCATGTGGTTTTAACTTATTTATAATTCAATCTCTATATTTTGACTTGATGCAACTTAGTCTTTTTAATTTTGACTTAGTTGTAATTCAGTGTCTGAATTTTGACTTGTCACAACCCAATCCCTATTGCTTTAACTATTTTATAATTTAGTCCTTACCTTTATTAGATATATAATTTTATTTTTTTAAAACACACAACTAAATTATAAAATAATTAAAACTATAAAGATTGAGTTATAACTAACCAAAATTTAAGGATTGAGATATAACTGAATTAAAACTATAAGTATTGAGTTGTACCAAATCAAACATTAAGTTATAAACAAGTTAAATGCATAAAGATTAAAAGATTAGTTTTTACTTTTTTTTTTCCAACCAAATCTCCTCTGATAGCCCAAAAGAGGTGAAAATCTTCGATAGGTCTCCGTGTGATGCGTGGCCATATGGGGCAAATAAGAATGAATTTAAACAAGTTAAAATTAACATTGTGAAATGAAAAATAAACATATCCCCGTACCCCGTGTGTGCAACTTTTTTCTCATGTTAATTTTTTTAGTAATTCAACTATTAACTCATTTATAGCTTAATTTTTTAACTATAATTTGATATAACTTATTTTCTAAACTTTTTACTCGTTAATAACTCAATCCTTAAACTTTTCATATTTAATAATTTAATGTTTATTATATATAATTCATTTTTAAATATAAAATAATTATTCTATATGACAAAACAAAATACTCTGACACTATTAAAAGTTGCAAACATTTCATCTTGTGTGCGTTTCAAAAAAAAAAAACAGTGGCCCATTTGGGTCAAATTTAATATTATGTCTCATGATTCTTTTTCATATTTGAATTGTACGGTTTTTTAGGTGAAAAGGTTTGGAGTGTTGAATTATCAAAATTTGCAGACTAATATAAATTCAGATATTGACACATCAGAGTAAAATAATTGACATGGTATATATTTTTAGTGGTCAGAATACGAATGACATGGTACGCACAGAGTACCTAAGAATTCCCCCAGGTCTAAACTTTCCCCAAATCAATTTAATTTTAATATACAAATTCCGCGGCCTGCTGCGACCGTTCTCTCTATTGCATCAGTCTGCAGCTGCAATTGCCGAATTCTCCTATCCGCTCACGGAATATCCCTCTCCTTCCTGCACTAGCTCCATCTTCCGGAGCCCCAGCTTCAACAGGTTTTCGATCTCTTTCTCTTCACTGTTCAGGCTATCCTACTTTGTCTGTTTTGTTTCCTCAATGAGTTCTGTTTCTTTGGGTTCCTTCCACCTTATTTCTTCTCCTATATTCAAGTCCCACCCTCGCCTTCAGATAAAATGTCAACATACTCACCATCTGAGTTGCTATGGTCTCAACACGTCTTCTACTTCCCTTACCTCTTCGTTCAGTAAGCCGATTTTGCTTCGCGCCACTGGCTCAAATTTTGATGCTTCAATTTCTTTCCCTGAGGGAGCCGTGTCTGTTATTAACTTTGAAGAACTAGTGGAGAAGGATTGGTCAGTACTTGATTCTGATAAGTCCACTCCCGAGGAAGAATTCAGTCGTAATATTGACCGCATTATCTCTGCTGGAAAGATTGAAGAAACTTCAAGGGTTTTGGTTTCAGTTAGTTCCGAAGATTTTGTGGATCGCTTGGTTGATTCATCCCCATGCAAGTTTCTGCTTGTTGTCCATGATTCACTTTTGATGTTAGCTGGTATTAAAGAGAAATATGACCTGGTTAAGTGTTGGCAAGGAGAAATTATATATGTTCCAGAGAAATGGGCTCCGTTAGATGCTGTGTTTCTTTATTTCTTACCTGCTCTGCCCTTCAAACTTGACGAGATTCTGGGTTCTCTTGCTAAAAAATGTTCACCAGGTTAGTTATCTATCGCTGTTGTTTGTGTAAGCTGTTCCTCTTCATTTTTTTTTTTATCTCTACCCTTTTGTTGCAAATTTTACGGTAGCAATTAGTGAAACAAATGCAGCTTCATTTATAATTTTGTGAACTTGCTCCACCATTGTATTTCATCATCTCTTCACGCATCCTGTGTCTTAAATCTGAGATAAATATGTGATTTTCTTTTTTTTTTTTGGGGGGGGGGGTGTGTTGGTGCACCGCGTTTATGTTTGTTTATTGTTTTGGGAGATCGTTTTTGTTATTTTATCTCAATTTGCTGTCAAAATGGTTCAGTGACATGGGACTTCTTCTTTAGGTGGAAGGGTGGTTATCAGTCATCCTCAAGGGAGAGATGTACTAAAAAAACAACGGCAAGAGCACCCAGAAGTAGTAGTCTCTGACCTGCCTGATAAAACAACTTTACAGAGAGTTGCCGTTGCTCATTCGTATAATGTGATTGAATTCGTGGATGAACCTGGCCTCTATTTGGCTGTTTTGAGCAGGTCGGCAGCTTAAAAAGTAAAGTGGATATTTACTTCAAAAGTTTATTACAGGTTCATTTTGCAACATGTCACTTAACCTTGATTGGACCTGTCGTGGTTTTTGGCTTTTATCGTTACCGTGTATATCGAATGGAAACTTGTTACGAAGGATTCAATTTTCGTGTTTGTATGTCAGGCTTTATCTTAAAAATCTATCTAGTTCTAGTGCACCAGGAAGTTTATATCTGGCCTTACTTTTGTTGGGGAGTGACGCTTCCCACGACCTCGATTTTTGTCATAAAAACTGACACTTGGGCAGGGTTTCTGCCTTGGATTTTTGCTTGTGTCTTGCACTTGATCTGGATTTTTTCCGACCAAAAAAGTGTATGAGGTTATTAACTTGATTAATATTTGTTCCTAGTTGTGACTTTGATGATGGTACAACGTTGGTCGAACATCTGCTATTCCTTGCATGTTAAGTTCTGTTGGTTAGAATTAGTTTTGTCTTATAGAATGTTAGTCTCTTTATCGTTCAAATTCGAGCTTGTATGAATTTCGAAGGTCATTGACAAAGTAAGTAGTTCTTACATTAGTTTTTAGCCAGGCCCTAGTCAAGCAAATGGACCACTTTAATCCAGGAAAAACCCTTTAGTATCATTCGGTTTTGATTCCAGCATGACAGAAGGTAAAAAATTGCCATGAACAAACGCTTCGTTCGAGCTTAAAAACGGCTGACCTCACACAAACCCAGGGGGAAAAAACCCTTCAAAATACCGGCACTCTCAGTCTTTTCTACATCAACGGAATAACAAGGGGAGAAACTCATCAGACTAAAGTAAAATTGGAAACTGTGGAAGGACTCTTGATTGCTCTCCAAATTACCAGGTAGTCAAACCTCCATTACCATATATGAAGACATTGACTAAACATAACGGCCATCTCATGCCTCATTTTAGAAAATCGAAAACCTTAAGCTATTGCTTGCCGCAAACAAGTTGTATTCCTCCATGTTGGTAGTCTCCTTATTGCAAGAATGATCGTTCTGGACATCATCGGCCAAAGTTTTGGAGCAGAAATTCCCTACAGCTTCACAATTGGAAGACACTGAAGTTAATTCACTACCTGCTGAAAGAGCTACGGGCCCACCAAAATGAAACAAAGAAAAACCACTGTCATTCCCTGTTGAATTGACTGAGTTATCATGTCGAACTTCCCCATTCAACGCTGGCTTTTCAGAGCTCGCTCTGGCTGAAACAACCCTCTCTTCTGTAGATCCTATTCCATCAACATGCCGGATTGAAGTTGGCTTAGAAATTTGAGTTCGTTCCTCTAGTTTTAAGCCTTTGGCATTAGCGACTGGCTGATAAACCGGAATCGTAGCATGGTTGAATAGGGGCATTTGTTGCTGCAGGGCACCATACTGCAAGCAGAAGCGCGGGTCCTCATTTATGCCATACCCAAGAGGGCCGTCATACGGATAGTGATTTTGGTGTGGAAAGGGAATCAACTCATTTGTGGAGGCCGTTGGCCATGATGCAGGATTTTGATGGTAAAAACCGATTGTCGAAGGAGCTTGGAAGACAGGAAATTGCATGTTGTGGTTAGGGGGAAGCATGCTTTGAGGCTGAGAACACAAGTTCGTGGTAAAAAAATCATTGTCCAAATTATGGGATATCTTTGTCACAGGGTCGCATAATCCATCACTTCCTGCTCCATCCAAGGATTGGCCAAACGGTAGCCTGCTAGCCAAACCCTCACCATATGAATTCTGGTTCTTCCCCGCTCCAACTTTAAAACAATCTGACAAGCCATTTTCAACGTGTGCTGAACTTCCTCTTCCTTCAGATTGTTGGCTAGCATCCTCTGAATCAGATGTGGTTGAAGATTCTGTATTTTCACGGTTTGAAGAGCTTGTGTTACTGTCTCCCTCACTTAGGCATGACGAGCAGTTGTCAGAATTAGAAGTGCTGCCTTGACAGGGATCAGATGAACCATTCAAGACAGAGGCCCTCCTTGGACCTAATCCGGGTTCCTCAGAAGCAACTTCCGTGGAACTGCACAAACACTCTGCTTCTTGAACAAGATCCTGACAGCCTTGATCCATGCCACCTGGTCCCTTCAAATTGCCATCCCCATGATCAACTTTGCCTGAACTACCGGCTTCGTCAGTAGGTGATCTGATCATATCATCAAACCGACCTCTTTGAACATTAAAAGTAACAGAGCTCAACGTAACGTCTGAGTCTGAATTGCTACGAGGATACTTCTTTGATTCCATAGGCTCCCAAACTTTCTTTGATTGAAGCAAATCCCTGCTGGCATTGTTAGCTGAGATGATTCTGCTTCTTGGTCTTCCAAAATTATCATGCATAAGGTCTACTTGGTTATACTTGCTACCATGATAAGACTGCTTAGACAGATCCATTACAGATTCAGATCTACTCGTAGGCTTTTTCTCCTGGCTAACTCTACTCACTGGAGAACGTTGGTCAACCCTTATCCTATATTCGCTGTTCATATTACAACTGCAAGAATGGAAGTCACATTTGTCAGTCATGTGGTTGTTGGGACAACGGAGCTTCTCATTATACTTAGGACCACCATGTCGACCATTGAAATTTGAAGCATTTAGTCTTGACTTCCTATTTGATCCATTGAATCCCTTAGATGAAACCGTAAAAGCATCAACATAATGTCTTGTCTCGGACCTACCGACCTTTGCACCACTCTCTGAAATTACTGCATAACGTCGTCTGTCGGACCACTTCATTGGCATATCCAGTTGAAAATCTTTCCTATATCTTAATCTCCGACGAGAAACCCTTGATTGCTCAACTGTGAAAGTTCCAGTATCATTTTTTGTATTGATGATTTCTCCATCACATTCATTATAAGAGTGATCTTGCAATGTCACAGTATTACATTCGCCATATATTTCTTCCTCTTGGATGTTAGTAGATTCATCACTCAATATATTAGCACCACCTGTTTCAATAGCTGAATCCCTGCAGTTACGAGGACTAGTTTCCTCCATATCAGCGATTGCAGAGAATTCTTCCCTTGAAAATTCAGCTGAGTCAAAAGCATTATTAGATTCAGAACACTTTTTTCCTTTATCTTTCTCCTTTCCTTTCAGTCTTTCCTTTCTCCTAAGTTTTTTCTCCCTTTCCTTAGTCCTTCTCCTCTCCTTGCGTTCTTCTTCTTCACGTTTTTCCTTTTCTTCTTCTTCAAGAAGTTTCATCTGCATGAAAAATCAGTTGGGTAAGATTTAGGATTTTAGAATCAGAAATTTTATCCCAAAATCGAAGAACTCTGCTTTTCTTTTTGGCCCCTTTTTTTTTTTTGAAATAATACCTGCTTTTCTAATGTAATAATTTCTTTGCATGCTACATTAACACGTTCCTCTAGAAGTTTTAGTGCAAGACAAACAAAGATGCTGTGTGCATTTTGGCGAGCTGTTCCTTCTCTGAAAGCTTTTTCAACCTGATAAAAAGTAACACGGTCAGCAGTTCACAACACAGAAAAGTTAAGGATAGCAACAGAATTCAAATTTTACTTAACATACTTTTGCTGAGCATATCAATAAATAATTGGAGCATGCTTCAGATTTTGAAGCCTATATCCGATAATCCATGTGATACAAAACAGAGAGACAAGAAGAAGCCAAGGGTGGATAAAATTGGCCCATGGGCATATCTCTCACTGTCATAACAAATAAAATTCGAGGAATGTTCTCCTGTATGGAGCATCTCCCATCAAATGGATGCAAAAGGGTTAGGGGACATCCGCATGTGAGAGACCAATCTTGGCATCGCAAACTACGTTGATTTAGTCCCTCCCCTCCCCCCCCCCCCCCAAAAAAAAAAAAAGCATCAACAAACACTATGACCGCCTCTCCAACTTTTACCTCTTTTGTCTGTATAATTATCAGGTTTTGCAAAAGACTGTAATCGATCGGATTAAAATTTGGAACGGAATAACATGGCTGATACTCTGAACCTGGAAAATTAGGATGAAATGACATGCACTTCTTTTGTCTCTATTTTACTTAAGCCAGCGAATCTGACTAATCAGGAAAACAGATGGTCAGCTCTAAGCTTTTCCCTCATTAAGAGGGGAAAGAACAAGTGTGAAACAAGTTTAACAGTCCTAATGCGATCCAAAAGCAAAAGTTGTTTGGCATTACCCTACATTATAAATTCCATCGATTATACCCAATTGACATCCCTTCCATACGGCACCAATTACTTTGTTTTGCAACTTTGCATGCATACCATATCAACCATTTCAAATTATGATGCAAAGACCTCCAAAGAAATATAAATATGCCCAGAAGGGGGAAGGGGAACATCATAATAAACTTCCTTTTTCTTTTTAAAAAACAAAAAGTAAAATTTTAACATGCCTGTTCTTTAAAAATGACAGTAGCAGCATCTAAAAGAAATTCTCGAGCAAGTTCTGGGCTCTTTGCATGCTTCTGGGGACGGGAGCATTCTCCATCAAGCTCCTTTCCATCCTTGTCTATCGAATCATCATCCTATAAGCATACATTACATAATAAATGAAACCTTTTCAATACTAAGTTCCCCGAAAGATTTGAAAATAAACACACAAGCGGGAATTATGGACAACAGAAATGAAATTTATTTCCTAATTTGAACTTACCTCTTCTTCCTCTGCCTCTTCAGCATGCTCAAAGAATCTTCTGATGCTTTCCCCTTTCATGATTGCAACATATCCTTCTCCTACTATTAGCCTGCAGTGTACACATCGTTGACCCTTCAATGCATAAGCTTTGACAGAAAGTTCAGTACATCGTCCACCTTGCTTCCAAGCTCGGAGAGTGATGAAGCATGCACTCAGACCACAAAGATCTAGGCCATTGACTTGAACGCATCGATTCATCCCAACATTTTCAAACTCCAAAATATCGGATTTTCCTTCACTTGTCCCAACAGCCCACTCAAAGTGATGATATGATCCCAATGTATCAGCAAACGTCTGTCGCCAATCAGCTTGAATTGAGTCATCAGATACCTGGTAACACAAACAGATAAATTATGTGCTTAAAACAACATCTGCTCTATATGCATAGGCAGATTAGTTACAGATCTCATCATTACAACAATACCGTACACTATTCCGTTGGAATCTCAATCAAAACAATTTTACAGCATAGAAATATGGAAGCAAGACCTCATACTGAAAGGCCGTGTCAGCAGCACAAAACCAATTAGTGCATCGAGGTTCTCTACGTGCGCGCTTCAGTTCTTTAAGTTCCTTGAATTCTCGAATAACATTTCTCCTACAATCTCTGCAAAATCTCTTGCTATCAAACCTGAAATAGACCCCCAAAAAAAAATGCTTCTCAGAAAAAAAAAAAACAGAAAGATAGAATAAAAGCTCCTTCAAAAACAAAAGCTTAACAAGCACAAATACATCAGCATGGTCAAGAAAGACCTCCGCGGATACAATGAAGCTGCAGTAAATTAAATTTCCGTCAACGATGACAACATAAACTAGTTCGCTATTGAATCAAGCAACAGATTTTGCATTTGCTTCAAACTCTTTCCCCGTTCCCTTGTCTTTCTAAACTTTTTCCAATGTTTTTAAAATTATAAATGACACAGAATCCCCAATTCTGTTGTTTTTCACAGCTCCCCAGCAAGATCACCATACCCTTATAAAAAGTGCATGCGCATTACATGAACAACCCAATTGTTTAAACACTTGACCAAGAGATGACAATTATCATTTGAGTGGAGAGTGCATTTGGGTTCAATCATAAAAAACGGCCTATCAGACGATTTATCCTTTGTATAATTGCTTGACAACTCCTCAACAAAGTGATCCTTTCTTGTCCGATTACCCATGTCTCAAATCCTTGGATATCCCAATTTGACCAGCCCCATCCCATGAAATGAAGAATGTTTTATAACAATCCGAATCATTCTGCTTTTCCAGTTAATGACATACTCATAATTTTAGCATGAGCGACAGGTCTGCAACTGAATTGGGGACCACTTTTCATCATACAGTATTAAAACTACCCTAAGCAAGAATTGAGATAAAACCTTCAAAATCAGATGGCCTCTGGCAAGGCATGCAATTTAATAGATCCAACCCTTGGCTGCTCCCTGGCTTAGTGAGCTCCAGGATCACACATAAGCAGACAGAAAATAGGCATATTTAGCAGAGAACTGAAGACACATAACATCACTGACAGACATAATGTCCTCAACGCAGATATTCCAATAAATCCTTCAGACGCATTTCCAGATTCTCTTTCTCTACGTATCAGTTTCAACAGCGTACTGTTTCTAGGTATGCATCAGAATTCCAGTGCTAGCAATTGGTCACTTATCTATAGTTAATGTAACGCAAGAAGTGTACAAATAGATAGACACCTGTACATAAGCCTCTCAATAAAATCTTCTTCTTTCATCCTCAAAAGAGATTGTCTGGTCTCATCTCCCAATGCTGACCAAAAATCCACAAGTGTATCACATGAAAGTCTGGCAGTGTGCAATGCGCATGTTTCCCTTGCCCCATGCCCTCTGCCATAACTCACTATTCCTTGGCTTATCCAACCCCGACCTCCTCCACCACATGCATCAGGATAGAGCAGTTCTCTTTCCCGCTCCCTTGCACGTGCCCCGTCAAAGACCTGGTAGGAACAAAGTTCAAATAATAATCAAGAAAAAACGATTGAATAAGAAGCCACTAAAAAGTGTTCTAAACTTACAATTTGAAGTCCTTTCAGAGATTTAGAGTACAAGTAGCATTCCATAAGTGTCAGTGAATTATCTCGTGTTGTGGTCAAACCTCCCCAAGGGTGGACGGATGGGTCTTGAATTTCATCTGATGAGAACCCATTCGTCATGCTTGATCCACCACTACCATTATTCTGGCTTCTCAAACCTCCAGATCTTTTGCAATTAAAGTGAGCAAAAGCTCCATCATGCTGTAAAGATTTCCCATACATAACAATCTGCAAAAAACGTTCAAGAAGTAACCCATTGCACCTTGAGCAGTACATGTTTTTACGAGCTTGCTCAAAGAGGGTTTGCTTGTCTATCCTCAAGAGTTCCTGCCTAGCTCGTGGTGACAACTCACTCCAGAACTGCATAATGTAGAGCATCCCACGAGAGATGAGTAAAGCACATTACAGATAGCAATTTTGTCTAGAAAACAAGGTAACATGTTCCCAAGACAGATCAAATTTCTAGGACCTAGTAACAGCTCCATGGAATTTTTCCTCCCTCTTCCCCTTTTATCTGACGCGCATTACACAGTCTTAAAAATAAGTCACACTGATTTGGCTAGTGAATAAAGCGTTTTGCTATAGGTTTTATTGTTTATATATATTGATGTATTAATATTTATATCTCATATATATTAATTTTTTTGCCCACAAGCACTGAAGGCCGGCTTCAAAGGTATCAGGAATCTTAACCTTGAGCAGCATACTGTGTAAAATGGTATATATTTATCAATGGGCAATTGAATGACGTAAATTTTGGTAACACCTGACAAACATTTTTGGTGCCATTTACCAGTCACGGATGTGGAGACACGAAAGAACAAACTGAACGCCGGCCATCAGCCACCGAGAACTGAATTAAAAACAAAAATTGCATCCCACAATTATGCTTCTAAAGGGGTCCTAAGCAATCAACGAATTGTTTGAACAGCAAAGATCCAGTACCAATCCAGGCAATCCAAAAATGTTTACACGCTAATGAACACACAACAGTGATCTAGTGGGATTCTGATTGACAAGAAAATCAGGTAACCAGGAGAGATGAGATAAAACATTGAATCCAGTACCTTCTGGAGCTGATTGTAGTTAACATCATCCCGATTCTTGGACCAAAATCCATTGGCAGAAAGCTTGTACGTCGCCGATGACCCGTTACTGAATTGTTCATTCTTTTGCGTTACTCCGGGCATTTTTAAACTCCGAAAGGTTCATTCATAGCGTCCATTCTTTGACTACAAAATTCCGTCGAATACAGAAACCGAATAGGATATAACTATAATAGATAATGGGAAATTTATATGAATCCGATACCCGACTATATAAGTATAATACAATAAAATGAAATTAACAATAATTCATCGATCGACCAAGCGCTGGGATCAAAATGGATCAGTGTGGACGCGAATACGATCGGACAAACAAGAGGGGAGGTGAAGGAGTGAGAATTGGGAAAGATTAGAACGAAAACGGCGGGGACGACAGAGTGTTTAATTGACGAAGATGAGATTTGGTGCAGTGTGTGTATATATTATTTGTAGGGGGAAGAAAGAGAGACAGCCAGGAGATTGGCAATGGCAGCTCATGGACACGCGGTTAAAGGGTGCCCGCCGGCCCGCCCGGGTACTGTTACATTTCACCTGTGTATTACCAAAAAAATAATAATTCTCGGTGCTAAATATCAACCTATTGTATAATATAAATTACGTTATAAAATAGGTTTTATATTTAAAAATAGACGGTGTATTTAATTAGTAAGACTCAACGATTAATGGGGCTGATATGAATATCCATATTAATAATTAACGAACAGAAAACTTGGGACAAACAAGTTCTAAATGGAAACTAAAATGAATCCGGTGAAAATGAATATCTCGTAAATAAATTTTTTTAGATTTAACTCAATTAAACTGTTAAAGAATTTTGTGTGCTCTTACCAGCAGAGCTAAGTAATTAAAAATTGGATATAATCTTTAAATATTAGTGGTGTCACTGTCAACCCTACTGTTTTCGAATATTATTTCATTATTTGAAATTTGAAATACAATAAAATATAATTAGCGATTTGTGGAGAACGCTAGGATCAAGCTTTTAGGAAATTTCAGGTCAAAAAATAAAGTTTAGAAAAATTTAATGCTACTTTAGATTTAATACTAATAAATATATGCAATTTGGTTGTCAACTTGTCATCTTAGATTTAGGGTAAAAGGATGAAAAATAAAATAAAATCAGTTGGGGTATTGGTAACTTGGGAGTAATGTTTATTATTGGAAATTTTTACTTCTTAACATACTATAGCCTATAAGATAGAAGGAACTTTGCTTGGGAAACAAAATGATGAATTATTTATAAGGAGACATCATTTTGCATGACTGGGCTCCTTTTATGAAAATGAAAAGAATGCGGGTTTTTTTTAAATAATCGTTATTCCCTGACAAACACTTATTGTTAATAATATCATTAATACTTTAAAATTCACTTATGTTAATTTAATTAAGCATATAAGGTCAAGTGCCTAAGGCATGACCCAAGAAAAAAAAAATTAAAATTGAGAGAAGTGAAAGTTAATAATCACCCGACGAATTTAATATTTAAAAAATTTTCTGTATGTGATATAAAATGTTTCATCTCTCAATGTTTTTTATGCATATTTATCAAATTCCCTGCACGTAATTATGAAACGAGGTGAATCATTTGTTTCATGGGATCACTGGTGAAAAATTATTCGTGATATGGACATTTCATCAATGGTCATTACGCATTTTTATTTTTATTTTCTTTTTATGCGCTGGCTTTAATCCCAGAAGATAATTTTAGAAATTCAGGGTTTTATCTATAAATAATTTGTGCCCTTGGTCCTTGAACATGATTTTTCCTTTAAGAGACGGACAACGGTACAGGGAGATATGAGGTCATTGTGAAGAGCCTGTGAAGCCAGGATGCAGAAATAGTGACGACATGATGGCCGGAGCCATATTTTTTTCCTCAGAGCTGTGAAAAATCGGGTTAAATTTATTAAGTTAAATTATATGATCCATTAATTTGATACGCTACGTTTATCTATCATAAAAATTGAAAAAAAAAAAAAACGCACGGATTTTATGTTTTTTTTTTTCAACTCATCAATTAAACTTATATCACAATAATAATGTATCTAATTGGAGCACTATGCTGAGCCATGGAATATGACAAATTAAATGATGATTATTTTTTGTGGACTAAACATATCAATCAATAGATCAAAATAGTAAAACGTATAAATTTATAATAAATTTATTTCATATAAAGACAAATCATCACTTCACTATTTCGTCATTGAAAATCACCACCCATGAACGCGACAATTTCAACTTTTAAATATTTGCATTCTTCTGATTAACCGCGAACTATCTGTGACAAAGATGTTAGAAGTTGACGTTAAAGTTGTAACTTTTACAATCACATAGCGACACAATAAATCAGCTTTTAAAAATTTGTATTCTTTTACTCGATTACGAGTGATTTGTAACAGAGATGTTAGGCGCTGAAGTTGACGTCGTAGTTTTTATAATTACATGCCAACGTAACCGTAATAAACCGGCCTTCTTCTTCTTCTTCTTCTTCCGTTTCATCGCTTCCGTAAACAACCATTCGGAAGTGGGAATCATGCCTACTCCTAAAAGTTTAGCTTTGTTATCTGACATGTTTTCCAGCTCAAAATATCACAGTTTTATCTCAAAAAATATTCAAGAATTCATCAAAGCAAACGGTTGATTTAGAGCTTCATGGGTTTCAAAAGACATGAACGTGCACCCACGTGCCTATGATACGTGAGATCAGAGTTAGATACCTGGAGTAAAATAGTCCTGATGCGGGTTGTCAGCTTTGAACTTGAACATTAAATCTTGTCTTTATCATTCAAAAAAAGAAGTCCTGACGGAGATCAATTAAAAAAATAGAAAGAATGATGGGAAAAAGAAGTTTTTATTTGCGCTTCTGAATTCTGATATTTAATGCATTTAAATTTAAATTATTGATGTGAAAATATTTTAAACAATAGCACATTAGACAAAAATCTAAGATATTTTTTCTTCCCGTCCTGACAGCCAAGATAAAGCAGCGGGAGCATGAACCAGAAAGTTAAGCTCGAACAAGCTAAACGGATACGAAATTTTTTCGTTTCATACACTCTCAAATGTCTCTTAGTCTTTTCGCTCTCCCTCTGTCTTTTTCTTTTTCTTTTTGTTTTTTTCCTTGGGGTTTTGCTTGCCTAAAAAATCTCACAGACCGGAGTTATGATTCTCGGTCATGCATGCGAACAACAAATGAAGTTTCCAGTTGAAGTGGATGTCAAAGGGACAGAACCATGATACAATCTGGAGCAATGGAACTTTGCTTAAAACTGAGGTTATTAAGTTATAGATTGCACAAAATTTGATTAAATACACTGATACTTCCGATGAGAACATCAAGCACCGGATTCAGAGCCAGCCGGCTTTGAATTGAGAAGTGGCTGAAGAGCCTTAGCCACTATTGTCATATTTGGCCGGAAGTCAGCTTCATACTGAACACAAAGTGCCGCAACTGCTGCCAACTAACACAACTCAAACACCATGAAGAAACTTATTTAAGCACGTTGTTTCATTTTTCTCAGGACCAACACAAGGTTAAGAGAAAAAGAAAACCGAAGGCTGAGAGTAGAGAAGAGGACCTTAGCAACGGCCTTTGGGGGGTATTCACTGTTTAGCTTCGGATCCACACACTGCTTCACTTTGTCCTCACTCAGCCTTGGAGTTGCCTGTAGCAGCAAGAAACATTAGCAGATGGACAATTTGAAATGGCGCTAAGATCACTCAAGATTGAGTAATCGATCATGACATACCCACGTCACTAGACTTTGTTGCCCCTTAGGCATTGTGTGGTCCACTGGCTTTCTTCCTGTTAGGAGTTCTAAGAGCACCACTCCAAAACTGTAGACATCACTTTTCTGGGTAATCTGGCCAGTCATGGCATACCTAAACAGATGTGCTAACGTGAAATTGATTTCAAGATATTTATGTTGAAGAGTGATTGCTTGTTTCACTGTGAATAGTACATTTAAGGAGGACCGGGAATTCCGGGGCATACGTACTCTGGAGCATGATAGCCAAATGTTCCTAAGACCCTGGTTGAATGAAGCCGAGCCGCTGTGTCAGAACTCTGGTTTGTCAAGTTGAAATCAGCAATCTTGGACTCGAAGTCATCGAACAATAAGACATTGCTTGATCTCACGTCACGATGAACTATGGACGGTTGACACTTCTCATGAAGAAACTCAAGGCCTTTTGCTGCACCATATGCAATTTTTACTCTTTGGTTCCACCTTAGTGTTGGACCAGGTTCAGCCCCCTGTACACCTTTCCTTCCTGCATCATCCGAATTCTACTACTTAATTATCAACACACAGATAATTATATATTTGAAATAATTAATAAAGTAGTCAGTTGTGCGCCCTCTACCCTACCATGCAATATATCATGCAGAGAGCCCTTGCTTGCGTACTGATAGACCAAAATTCTGTTGGTTCCCTCGAGGCAATACCCCGTCAACTCCAAAAGATGCTCATGCTTTAGTCTTGAAACTATAGATAACTGCATGATACACAGTGGCACAATACAATGTTTGAGTGCCAAAAACATTCCCGCAGTGGATCTCAGGTGAACCAGAGCCTGACCTGTGCGGTAAAATCAGAGTCTGGTTCTGGTGAAGAACTGTTATCCAGCTTTTTGATGGCTGCATCCTGACCATTTCTTAACTTTGCGTAGAAAACCCGTCCGTAGGAACCTTCTCCAATCAAAGCATTGGAACCAAAGTTGTCCGTTATACTATTCAGCTCTTCCAGTGAAATGGCTGGTGTCTCAACCGATAAATCTCTCTGTGGACCGCCTGTCTTGACAACATTGCCCCTGAGTTCTCCTCTCTCTCCTCCTATATTCAGACATGGTTACTCTAATTATTACTCATAACCTGGAAGAGAAAAGGCATTTTTCTGAGAGATTTATCAGATGAGGCATGAGCAAGCACTATGCTGAAACATTATGATGTTCCTAATGTTATATAAGAATATTCAGTAGTGCTTTCAATGGGCGAATGGTCTAAAACTGAGTCTGGACATTGTATGGACAAACCAATTAGGGGGAAAATAAGACACGAAATAAGAAATAGAAGAACATGAGCATGATACCTCCGCCACCATATGCATTAACCCCTCCTGGTGGTGCAGTGGATTGGTTTGGAGGTAGGCCAGCGATCTCTTCCTCTGCTCCTCCGCAGCACATCATTCTTTAAAGTAGCTGAAGGAGGGGTCTCAAAGAGCCATTTAGAGTAAATGATGATCAATGAACAACCTGAAAGTGGTGGATTAACAAACTTCCAAACCCTCAATTCATCCTTAGAATCAGTCGAACAGGATGTTAAATAAACGAAGACAAGTGTTTGCGAATGAAACGATCGAAGGAGGCCAAAGATTGAAATAAGATTGCAATAATCCCAAGCCTTTTCCATATACTAATGAGAGAACTTTAAGGCTTTATTTGTCCCAAAACGAATTCCCCTGTTCTGTTCTATTCCTTCCTAATCATGAAATATAAATTCTCAACCGAGAAAGCTTCCCAACTGATCATGAAACTCGAAAAGTAAATGCAAAAGTTAGATATTCAAGACATGTTTTATCATTCATAATCGCGGACAAACGGCGAACCAATAAGAAAACAGTATTATAGAATCAAAACCTCTTCTCATTAAATCCAAGTAAAAAAGAAGATCGCATATAACCTGTTCCTGATCAACGCAAAATGCTCAATGAGACCAGGTTCGAGGACAGATGAGGACCAAGATCGCCTGAGAGAGTAAAGGCCAAGTCCCTCCGATGAGTTTTTTTCTTAGGAAGAGTTATGCCCCCCCCCCCCAAAAAAAAAAAAATTTCTGGGAAAGTCGTTTCGTTGAAGCAGAGTTTAACCGCTAAAACTATAATACAGTTTTCTTCTTCCCCCCACCATCGCACGTCCTTCGCTTATTTCTATTTTAATGCATATTCCTTTTATTGCTCTCATCGGAAGGCTCCCAGCCCCCGGTGTGACTACGTTCGAGACGTGATCCATCCATCCTAATTCGCCCTCACTCTACGCCTCTGCTTCTTGCTTTCAGCTTAAATAATTATTATACCCTTGTCTTCTCCCAACAATTATTATGCTATCAACTATCAATCATCAACTATATTTTTAGAAACTTATAATACGGGATTCGTTTGAAAATGAGTTGAGTATGAGATTATAAAATTATAATATTTGAATATATTCAATTAATGAGATTTAAATAACTTCTTGACTGAGATTTGAATATATTGAATTAAATAAGAAACATTATAAATAAATACAATTTCAAATGGAGGCTCAAATAAAAAAATTAATAATTAATTTTGAATTTGAATAGTATCTTAATTGGGATTTGAATATATTAAATTAAATGAAGAGTATCATAATTAAATAATATGTCAATTAGAGGCTTAAATAGAGAAATAAATAAATAATTTCAAATTTTTATCTATTCCCCATAAATTTCGCATCTCTAGTTGAAATTTTATTAAAATAAATAAAAAATAACTCCTATTAGAAGCAAATATTCAGTATCTTAGATAATGTAATTTATTAAAATTTTAAACCTAATTAAATACGTTAATCTGTGTATCGTATGAGTGAGAAATTTCTAGTTTTATAATTGAATTAAGAGAATAAACTTTCATGCTCGTGATTTATGAACAATTTCTATAAGCTTTATTATATATAGACTCTTTTTTGGGTGTGCGCACGATTCAAGAATAAAAAAACATTTTTAGGGTGTGTTTGGATGAAACTAAACCGTGGTTTGGAAAAGTGATTCTGGAGAATAGATTCTGGAGAGAATAGATTCTGTAAAAAAGTGATTCTGAGAAGTGAGAGTGTTTGGATAGTTGTTATCAGAAACACTTTTTATATATACAAATTACAAAAAAAAGACATAAGTTAATATGATAATTACAGAAAAAATAGATTTTATGATATATTTTAATTTGAAGGAATAAAATTGTTAATAATATATTTTTTACCAACATAATTAATAATACATAAGATAATATAATTAATAAATAATTAATGTGTATATATATTTATAAAATATAAGACTAAATATGTTTATCAAAAAATATGTTTATAAAAAAAATAACAAGATACATATCATATAGGCTCTCACACTCTTCCTTTTTTCTCCAAAAGCAAAAAAATTTTGCTTTTTCCAAAACCATGGTTTTGGAGTCAAAACCATGGTTTTGGTTTTTAGAAGGGATGTTTGGGTGATTGACACCCCAAACCATGGTTTGGGGTGTCACCTAAACACACCCTTAATCAATTACGAATAATCTAATTCATTACAAATTAAATTTTTTAACACATCATTTCAAGCCTGCTATATCTACATGCTCGTGATTCAAACTATAAAGCTTGCTTGTTGGCCCGTGGGGAAAACTCCGGACCCTTTTTTTCAGTGTACGTAGTCTCTTGTTGAAGATGATAATATTCAAAGCACTATCAGCGCTTTCAAATTATAACTTATCATGTTACGAAGAACTAACTTTTGGAGTGAAAAATCCAAACTTCTAAGGTTTCATTTGGTACAAAACGTTAAAAATAAGAGATAAGAATTAAGATTATAATTGATAAAAATTATTAAAAAAATATTTACCATGAGTAATTACTTGTTACATTCGATTAAACAAACTTATTGAGATGAGATAGGAGAATACCACATCCCACCATGATATTTTCTGATCTCACATATATGAATTTGTTTAATCACACGTAATAAGAAATCTTTTATGCTAAACACTCTTTTAATATATTTTCTTAATTTCAATCTCAATCCCTACCTCTCATTTGTAATCTCATTTCATACCACTAGGATGATTCAAGCGGTGATTCATGAGCAAGTGAAGCGATGGAAGTTGGTATGCCTCAAACAGCAATTAAAAGTGAAGCTGTAGAGATTAGTATCGGTGAAGTATCTCATTTTTTTCTCTCTCATAGTTTCTCATCAGTAGCGACCATATTTACTCCATCTCCTAGTTTCTCATCGGCAACGACCATGTTTCCCTTCTCTCGTAGTTTCTCATTCATGCCGTCTACGAGCCAATTTATCTCTTTTACTGTGGTGCTTCTCTTCATTCAACTCATGCCTCTCTTTGGTCTATCTGTTGAAATTTCAGCTCATATGCTAAAGGATCCGAATGCCTACCAAGAGATGGAGAAAATGATAGCCCTTGGATTTCTAATAGCGGTATTTTCTCTTATTGTGTTTGTGATCTCTTCTCAAGATATCCATGTGGATCAACAAACAGGCACTGTCCATTATGGAATTGCCAGCTTCAGCAGCCTGTGGCTGATTTTCAACCTCAGAGCAATAGTAAAAAATTATACCTAAAAAATAAGATATGGGTCAATATTGCACGTTAACCCTAATTAATATTATCTCTGGTTCTTAGTATAAGAGTTAACTGGGTATTCAATTTAATTTTGAATACAAAACATCAATCTACCTTATCTCACATATTTATGTATTTTTTCAAAAGTAGTTTTTATGTTAATTTGTAAGTGTTAAATATTCTATTAAATATTAGTCCAAATGCATATATTAATAAGTATTTTAGAAAATATAACATTTATTAATTATAAATAAATAATTTAATTAATTTTTTTAATATTATAAATTAATCATTTAGTTCTTATAGTAAAAATAGGAGATAGTAAATATATGTGTATATATTTTAATATTTTAAATGGTTTTATTGAAGGTTTCGTGTTTGCTTGACGTTGACAGGCCAGTAAATATTCGTTTTTATGGCAACTTTACTGCTGGATACATACTAGCCAACAAGGTATTAAATTAGTATGCCTCGAGCAGCGACAGGCCAGTAAATATTCGTTTTCCAGCAGTGACTAGTGAATAAGTGAAGCAGTGAAAATTAGTTTGCCTCAAGCAGCAATTAAAAGTGAAGCCGTAGAAGTTGGTATCAGTAAAGTATCTTATTTCATACCCACTGAGATGATCCAAGCAGTGACTTGTGAGCAAGTGAAGCGGTTAAATTTGGTATGCCTCAGGCGGCAATTAAAAGTGAAGTTGTAGAAGTTGGTATCAATGAAGTATCTCATTTTCTCTCTCTCATAGTTTCTCATCAGGAGCGACCATATTTACTCTCTCTATTAGTTTCTCATCACCAATGATCATGTTTCCTTTTCTCGTAGTTTCTCATTCATGCCGTCTACAATTCTACAAACATAGTTTTTCACTCTTTAATTAATTTGTTAATACAAACAATTCTTCATTCTAATTAAATTTTAATTTCAATCTTCAAACATGGAGACATAAATGGGACGAAAATTAATTTTAATTAACCTTGTTTTAAATTAAGAGTTTGAAACTCATTAATGTTTGATTTATTATTGTAAAGCTATTTAGAAATAAACATCTTAGATCATCATGAGTTTGATTAAACCCCATAAAATTTTGATTACCGAGTAACACTACAATTTTACATGAAATTTTATTTTTAAAATAAATTTAAAATATAGTAATATCATAGTACGAGGAGGGAGGAATAGCTAAACGTCAAACTTACGAATATGAAGGTGAAACATTAGTCCATTATACATAGACACATGGAGTCTCAACGTTTTCCACAAAAAAGACAAACCAGTTTAGGTATAAACTAAGAAGATGATGAAGTTGTCGGCACGCAATCAGAAATACTCCTCCGGTCTTTATTATAAGACCCAATTTGACTTTTTATTTGATCCTAATTATAAGACCCAATCCATTTTTTCTCTTATATTTATGCATTTTTTTCCAACATAATCCTTCTAATAATGATAGTTTTAGCCAATATACTTAATTAGCAAAGATATTTTAGGAATGATAACACTTATTTATTATAAATAACCAATTTAACTTACTTCCTTAATCTCCTCAAATAAGTCAATTGGGTCTTATAATTAGGACCGGAGGAGTAGTGTTTATGCATGTAGATTGGTCAAGACCATGATACACGTTAAGCAACTAATCATATCCTCGCTTTTAGCTTCCATTGACTTTTTTGCAGTTGGATCTGATTTCTCCCCGGCTTCCTATTAATGGGCTAATATCACCCATATTTATCACTGACTGAGCAAACGCTTGGAACAAGGCTGTTTGGTTGTTGGCAAAATAGTTAACAATAGACACTGTAGAAGACCCATTCGTCGAAAACAACCCTTGGTTTGATTACAAAAGCCCCTGATTCGTTAGAAGAATCTTA